ATATACACACACACACCCAGACACGCACATACACACACACACAGACATGTATGTGCACACACACAGCCATGCATGCACACACAGACACACACACACATACAAAGACACCCACACGCACACACACAGACACTCACACATGCATACACAGACCGACACATACACATACACACGCACGCGCGCGCACACACACACACGCGCGCGCACACACACACATTCTCAGTGCAAATGGATTTTAACTTCAAGAGACATTAAGATATCCAACAGAAGGTTATCAAAAATTACAGAGAGATCTTGATCAGATGAGGACATGGGCTGAAGATTGGCAAATGCAATTCAATACAGATAAGTGTGAGATGTTGTACTTTGGAAAGTCAAACCAAGGTAGGACTTATCGAGTAAATGGTAAAGTCCTGAGGAGTGTTGTGGAACAGAGGAACCTGGGTGTACAAGAACATAGTTAGTTGAAAGCGGTGTGAAGAAGGCATTTAGCATACTGGCCTTCATTGGTCGAGGCATTGATTATAGGAGTTGGGATGTTATGTTACAGTTGTGTAAGTCATTGGTGAGGCTGCACTTGAAGTATTGTGTACAGTTTTGGTCACCCTGTTATAGGAAAGACGTAGTTAAACTGGAAAGTGTGCAAAGAAGATTTACGAAGATGTTGCCAGGACTAGTAGGCCTGAGTTATAGGGAGAGATTGGCCAGGACAGGACTTTATTCCTTGGAATATAAGAGAATAAGGTGTATAAAATCATGAGAGGCTTAGATAGGATGAATACATATAGTCTTTTTCCCAAGGATGGGGAATTGAAAACTATGTTTAAGGTGAGAGGGGAAAGATTTAAGAAGGACCTGAGGGTGGTGCATATATGGAATGGGCTGCCAGAGAAAGTGATTGAGGCAGGTACAATAGCAACATATTAAAAAAAAATTGGATCGCTACATGGATGGGAAGGGTTTAGAGGGATATGGACCAAATGCAAGCAATTGGAACTAGCTGAGCAGGCACCATGGTCAGCATGGACCAGTTTGGGTCAAGTGCTGTTTCTATGCTGTATACTCTATGACTCTATGGCTGTATCCTTTTGAATATACATCTATTGTGTTATTCTGATAAAACAATACTGCTGACTCAAAAAAAAGACAAAATCTGACCGAGTTCTGAAATCCTGACGATTCACTCACAGACTTCAAGGCTGAAAACATCTGTCTTAACATCTTCTACAAATTGTTCCATTTTCATTCATCAGTTTAAACAGAATGATCCCATTGTGTGATCAGCAAGAAGGAATTAAAAAGGAATAATAGATTTATACATGTCTTTCAAAAAAAACCTTTCACTTTCTTGTTTCATTCTCCAAATTTCTCCAGTGATATAGTTATCATTTTATAATTGACAGTGACCCTTTTAATTGAAAGCACTGGAAATACAAAAAGGGGAGGAATTACTCTGGTTACAGTGTGTTACAAAGTCAGAAATATCTCATGAGTTTATGAATGATGTTCTTACAGAAAATCCCTACAGCCTCCCTGTGATCACAGGTAGAGTCTGAAACTGATTAGAAATGAATCACAGTTGAAGCAGCACAAAATGTCATTTGTTTTTGAAATAAGCTTTCACAAAATAAAGTTGTATCATTATAATTGTAAGATAACATTTTAGAATAAGTCTTTCCTTTAACCTATTGGTTTAAAGGAGGTGACAGACCGTAATTTTTAATGCGGGCGTAGGAGAGGGTTAAAGGAGATATTAAAATGTACTGAAGGAAGGGTTTGAGGGAGATTTGGAGGAATTTAGAGAAAATATTTGAAAGGAGTGGCTTAAGGAAGCTAGTCAATGGCAGGAGCCAGTCAATATTTAGTCAAGAGTAAAACAATTAACTGTGATTAAAAAGCTTTTTAGTTGTCCTATGTTGAGTTCATTTTTTAAAAAAAATATAGGAGTCCCCATTGTGTAACCCCTCCATTTCATAAGTCAGTTTCCCAGGGTGTTAACGCCTGGACATCACCTTGGTTTGTGAGTGAGTGAGGGGTGTTCAGGCCAGCTGAGTCAAATTGGGGTGAAGACACCTGAGATGAACAGGTTAGGAGGGACAGTGTTGGCAATACTGTGTGGGGTGGACTCGGGCTGGAATCCATAAGATACTTCTCTAGATTCCCATTCCTGTTGCGCCTCAGCTTGTTTCTTATTCTTTGAAGAGATATTCTGTGCTGTAAAATAAATTTCTTTTCCCAATTTGAGTGGTAAAGTACAGCTTTTAACAAGGATTTACTTTTGCATTTAATTTGAGTAGATGGCATGATTTATTATAAAGGCCGGGTCAGTTGGAAACCACTGATTTGAGTTTACATCATAAAACTTGTGAAATTATGTTTACTTTTAGTGTCAGTGCTGGACTTTTTAAAGTTAAACACAAAATGAGAGATCACTTAATTTTACTTCTGAATGATTAAGAATTATGGATCCAAACAGTACAGAAGAAGCCCATTTAGCTCATTGTGTTCATGCTCTTATAAAGACAGAACATCCGCTCCTAATCCTCACTCCCACTCCACCCCAGGCCTAAAATTCTCATCTGCTACTGATCAAATCTCTTTGCACAAAATCACAGGGATGTTACAGCACAGAAGGAGGTCACTTGGCCCATTGTGCTTACACCAGCTCATTAAATGAACATCATTACCTAGTGCCAATCTCCTGCGTTTTCCCTCTACTTTGCACATTATTTTTATCCTTATTAATCCATCCAGTGCCCTCTTGAATGCCTCAGTTGAACCTGTCTACATCATCTTTCTAGGCAGTGCCCTAACTGCCTGCTGTGTGAGCTAGATTTTCCTAACCTCACCTTTCCTTCTTTTGCAGATCACTTTAAATCTAACCCTTTCATTCATGTTCCTTTTATGAGCAGGAACAGTTTCTCCCTTTCTACTTTATCCTACCTGCTGATGATTATGGAAACATTTTTCAGATCTCCTCTTAGCTTTTTCACTCCAAGGAGGACAGTCTCAAACTTCTTCAATTTATCCTCATAACTGAAGATCTTTATCCCTGAATCCAATCTTCTAAACCACTTCTGCACACTTGCCAGGGTGTTCACATCTTTCCTATAATGTGGTGCCCAGAGCTGTGCACAATATTCAAGCTGAGGTTCAACAAGTATCTTATACAAGTTCAATATAATTGCTCTTGCATTTGATGCCTCTATTAATAAGGCCAAGGTTTCTTTACTTACTGCTCTCTGTACCTGTTCATCCACTTTCAGTGATCTGTGCACGTATACACCTAGGTCCTTTTCAAAGCCACTATTGAACATGCCTCCAGATCCTAACCACTTGCTGCATAAGAAGAAGCAGTTCATTATGTTGCAGTTGCTTGTTTTGTCAAACATCTTAAGTCAGTGTCCTCTGGAACTCAACCCTTCCATCAAAGGGTGTGTTTCACTCTATCTGCTCTGTCCAGTCTCCTCATGATTTTGAGTCCTTTACCAAACGTCCTCTCAGCGTTATCTCTAACCATGTAACTGATGTTCCTCATCCTTGGAACCATCCTCGGAGATCTTTCCTGCACCTTCTCCAAGCCTTACACATTTTTCTTGAAGTGCAATGCCCAGAATTGGATACAAATGCTCCCAGTTGTTTTATAACCTGTGTATCTCCTGCTTTGCCCTGGTACAGGGTATCAGTGGTGCTAATGCCTGGAACGGGAGGCCAGCACCCACTCTACACATGCATGTTGCCATTAATGCATTGTCGTGCTAACACCCTCACTCTGAAGCTGGCTTAACCTGCTCACAGCCCCACTTGCTACTCTGCATGTCTCGCTGTCTCTGCTTGGCTTTGTGAGTCCAGGCAGAATAAGATCACAGAACAGTTAAGATTCTGCACACCAGAGAAATGTTTTCAAGAGAACTTGTTTTGATCCACAATCGTTAAAATGGGTTTTAATTGGTCTGTGTTCCAGAAGGTTCTCATCTGTATCTACCTGCAGCAATCTCTGTTGGCGACGTTGCAGGCACTGAGACTGCATGGGTGGTGAGAGCACCCCCTTTTGGTTGCAGTGATGTAAATGCAGTCATTTTATAAAGCCTCACCGCAACCCATGTGCTGCCTCTATTTATAAGGTAGAGAACCCTCAAAGCCAATCAAGCATTTGTTCCGCAGGATTGTTTACATCCAAGTGCCCCCGAAACTTCCTCCCCCAACTCCAAAGATCCATATTTGCATCTAGAGGGACGATTGGTTATTACAAAATGGCAAGGTTGTGAGTTCAAGCCTTAACCAGGGCAACTGATATTTTTGTGGGTGGCAGTGGGACCGACAGAATTAAGCCATGTGACACAGGGGCTGAAGTAGGCCATTCAGCCCATCGAATCTGCTTCACCATTCAATGGGGCCACAGCTGATCTGATAAACCCCTACTCCACTTTCCTGCCTTTTCCCGATAATCCTTGATTCCCTGGATGATTAAAAACCCGTCTATCTCAGCCTTAAATATATTTAATGAGCCACTATCAACAGCTTTCTGCGGCAAAGAATTGCATAGATTCAGTGCCCTCTGAGAGAAGATTGCTCTAAACGGCACTAGTACAAACTCAGAGAGCCACACTCTATGCCATAATGTCTCCAACAGTTAGAACTGGTATCGAAACAATAATTAAAATTATTCCCAGTCTCTGACATATTGTTAATGTTAACTCTGAAGTGAGGACGTTAACCCACAGGTCTCACTCTTTCTGCATCTCTTTTAAAATTCATGCTACCTTTTCTTAATTAACTAATTAGGCAATCAAATTTAATAAATGGAAAAAGTAGTGGGCAACCAATTCCTGATTTGGGTACATTTAAGATGGTAAATCATCATCATATTCCAGAGTGTTTTATTCTGCTGCTACGCCAATGATGTACAGCCTCTTAATCCAAATAGCGTACTGCTATACTCTGTAGGAATTGATCTTTTAAAATGTATTTAACGTATAAAAACACTCTCTGTTTTAATTCAGATTCTGAAGACATTTCGTCAAGTGACAGGAAACTTTCCAAATCCAACCTGAGCCAAACAAAAAAGAGAAAGAAAAGACGCCACAGGTAAGAATTTGTGTGCACTGTTTAGTTTGTGGTCAGATGTGTCTGTTTTAACAATACCTCTACTCATTCTGCATAATTGCAATGTGCTTATAATTTATCTATGCCTATTCATAGCCGCTCACTAATTCATGTTGTAAGCTTTATTTTAAAGCTTGCACCTGCGATGTGGGCATAGCTGTCTAGGCCAACTTTTGCTGCCTATCCCTAATTACCCTTGAGGGGTGTCTTCTTGAACTGCTCCAGTCCATGTGCTGTAGGTACACCCACAGTTGGGGAGGGAGTTCCAGGATTTTGACCTAGCGATGCTGAAGGAATGGTGATATATTTCCAAGTCAGGATGATGTATGGCGTGAAGGAGAACTTGCAAGTGGTGGTTTTACCATTTATCTGTTGCAATTGTTCTTCTAGCTGGATGTTCACCACCCCATACTGTACACCATTTTATTTTACTTAGCTGTGTCATATTTCAGAGTGTACCTCTACCTGCTGAATTCCAGCTGCAATCCCTGTGCGCATTCCAGATAGAATACAATGTGGGAAAGTGTGAGGTTATACACTTTGGCAGGAAGAATAGAGACATAGACTTTTTTTTGAACAAGGAAAAGGCTTCAGAAATCTGAAGCACAAAAGGACTTAGGGGTCCTAGTTCAGGATTCTCTTAAGTTTAACATGCAGACCCAGTTGTCAGTTAGGAAGGCAAATGCAATGTTAGCATTCATTTCAAGCGGGTGAGAATACAAGAGCAGGGATGTACTGCTGAGGCTGTATGAGGCTTTTGTCAGACTGAATTTGGAATTTTGTGAGCAACTTTGGGCCCTGCATCTAAGGAAGGATATGCTGGCCTTTGGGGAGGAGGGGGGAGAGGGTTTAGTTTTCCAAGAATGATCCTAGAGATGGAGGGCTTGTCATCGAGATGAATGGGAGAACTCTGGGTCTGTAGTTGATTGAGTTTAGGAGGATGAGGGGGATCTTATTGAAACTTACAGAATACTGAGAGGCCTGGATACAGTGGACATGGATAAAATGTTCCACTAGTAGGACAGAGTAGGACCTGAGGGCACAGCCTCAGAGTGAAGGCACAATCCTTTCGAACTGAGATGAAGAGGAATTTCTTCAGCCAGAAGCTGGGCAATCTGTGGAACTCATTGCCACAGAGGCCAAGAAATTGAGATTCTTTAAGACAAAGATAGATACTTTCTAGATATTAAAAGGACCAAAGGTTACAGGGAGAGGGCAGGAGAATAGGGTTAAGAAACATATCAGCCATGATATATGAACGGCAGAGCAGACTCAACACGTTGAATTTTGTTCCTATATCTTTTGGTCTTACACTGTATTCCAGCTATTCACCAAACTGTGCTATATCTCTGCTGAAGTTATAGCTCAATGCCTATTTGTCCCACATTCCAGCTATATTCACTTATCAGTGCTGTATTTATCCATCCATGCTGGTTTCCAGCAGTTCATCTATACGTATTCTAGTTGTGGCTTTTCTCTGTGTTTCAACTGTTGGGAGAACACCCTAGATTCCCTAACCTACCCTTGTAACTAAATTGTCTGATCCCTGGAAATCTGGTAAATCTCCTCTGCACCCTGTCATGGATCCTTCCATCATTCCTGAAATGTGGTGTACAGAATTGCAATAACATGCGATACTGCAGGGTTCGGGTAGAGAAGATGGCAGGGGGATGGCATGCAATAGAAAGATTCAAGATATTTCACATTAACATTAACAATTATTTTCACTGGGTGACATGGAAGAGGAGATACAGGATGACAAAGGAGGATAAACTACAGTAGGTCCTAAAAAAGCAAGATGTGATGTGACATCTGCTAGACACTAACGTTATATGTTAAACAAACTATGTTAAAATCTATATTGTTGGTGCAACTTTGTCCAAACTAAGTTTTGTAGTGTGTCTCACTGTTTTTAATATCTTGAAAGAATTTCTGAGGGCTGCTGAGGGTTCAGTTGTGTGTTACTAATTCTTTTTTCTCTCCTAATTTAAGGACTATATTCACTTCTTACCAGTTGGAGGAGCTGGAAAAGGCATTTAATGAAGCTCACTATCCAGACGTATATGCACGGGAAATGCTGGCCATGAAAACAGAGTTGCCAGAAGACAGGATTCAGGTAAATTGAGAGAGAGAGAGAGAGAGAGAGACGGAATTACACACAAAATGAGAAAGAATGATGGAGAGATACAGCAATGGAGTTCAGAGTGGGAGAGAGAGATGGAGAGACAGTCACAGATGGAGAGACAGAGAAAGCCTGACACAAGTGGAGAGCCACAGCTTTAGAGGCCGACGAACAGACACAAAGAGACAGACACTGAGAGAAATAGCAAGAGAGTCAGACACAGAGAAAGAGTGATTCAGAAAAAATTACACAGGGAAAGAGAAAAGTAAGACAAACAGAGAAAGACGATGGAGAGGCTCACAGAAAGACAGACAGACATGAGAGATGAACAAAGATGTACATCGGGTGGGGCGGTGGTGAATATAAATCACAAACATAACAATCAGTATAAAACAAAATTAAGGGAATTTAAGTAAGGGAATACAATATCTTGAGCTAAAACTCTTGGAATCAATTGGTTTCTTTAAACATTACTTGTGATGCAGATGGTTTTCTTATAGACACTGAATGGGAGTCTGGCACACTTTATCTGTTTCACTATTCAGGCACATAGTTGTATAATGGCTCGGAGGTGTGGCTCCTATCACATGCACAAGCGATAGTAGGAACTGCAGATGCTGGAGAATCCGAGACAACGAGGTGCAGGGCTGGAGGAACACAGCAGGCCAAGCAGCATCATA